CTCCCTCCACAGGAGGGTTGAGAATAGAGACAGCGTTTTTCACCTCTTTTTTTAAATATGTTGTCACAGAGGCACCACCAGCATCGCTGACTGGCTCAGCCGTGTCCTGCAGTGGGTCCATTTTGGAGCCGGATGGAACTGGCTCTGTCCAGAGTGCGGACACCCCCTGGCCTCTCCTGATAGGGGCCACCCTTGCAGCCCCCCGCTACCAAAACCTTGTCACGTAAACCAAATACACTGGCAGGTTCAAAAGATTGCTGAATCCCAGCTACCAGCTGCTTACGGCTTGTAAGAAAGACAGCTTACCCCCCGCAAAACCTGACTTCAGCTAAAACTGCTTGTCAGCAATGAAGACTTTGAGCGGTACTTACGTAAGCAAGCAAAAGAAACAAAGAACTATAGAAATGAGCCTGTCCGTAAAAAAAAAATTAAGTTGCCTTTATGTCCTAAGGCAGACAGTCTGTGCAGTTTCTTTGCATTCTCACTAAACCGATCGTCACAAGCGTTCTTCTTGTCATCGTCAATCTGGGTAATATGAAAACATGCTAACACAAACTTAGAGCAGTTAAACAGAAGTCATAGCCAAATAACTGAAGGAAAAGGTTTAATGTAATTTAGTCATGAAGTAATCATATGTAACAAAGTTAAGTTCTATGTTCATTTTCTGAAATCACTGACTTCCCAGATGAGCTTACAAAATTTACAAATTGCAGTTTAGATGACATAGACAACTGGTTTTCAAATTATAGTCTGCTGACCTCTTTGGGAGGATGAGAAAAAAAAAAAGAACAATAGGCCCTGGGCTATTTCTATGTGGGCCATTTCTTTAGGATCTGTGAAGAGTAATTAAGATAGCCTGATCTGACTGCAAGTTTTGTTAAGCATCAGCGTAAGTAAGTCCACATCTCTACTGAAAAAGGCAAACAATCAGCAAAAGGAGTCAGATGGAATCAGACGTGAACTGTGTAAAAGCTCTGCAGAGGGACCTGGACAGGCTGGATCGATGGGCCGAGGCCAGTTGTATGAGGTTCAACAAGGCCAAGTGCCGGGTCCTGCACTTGGGCCACAACAACCCCATGCAGCGCTACAGGCTTGGGGAAGAGTGGCTGGGAAGCTGCCTGGCGGAAAAGGACCTGGGGGTGCTGGTCGACAGCCGGCTGAACATGAGCCGGCAGTGTGCCCAGGCGGCCAAGAAGGCCAACGGCATCCTGGCCTGTATCAGCAATAGTGTGGCCAGCAGGAGCAGGGAAGTGATCGTGCCCCTGTACTCGGCACTGGTGCGGCCGCACCTCGAATACTGTGTTCAGTTTTGGGCCCCTCACTACAAGAAGGACGTTGAGGTGCTGGAGCGTGTCCAGAGAAGGGCAACGAGGCTGGTGAGGGGTCTGGAGAACAAGTCTTATGAGGAGCGGCTGAGGGAGCTGGGACTGTTTAGCCTGGAGAAAAGGAGGCTGAGGGGAGACCTCATGGCTCTCTACAACTACCTGAAAGGAGGTTGTAGCGAGGTGGGTGTCGGTCTCTTCTCCCAAGTAACTGGCAAAAGGACGAGAGGAAATGGCCTCAAGTTGCGCCAGGGGAGGTTTAGATTGGACGTGAGGAAAAATTTCTTTACTGAAAGAGTGGTTAAACATTGGAACAGGCTGCCCAGGGAAGTGGTTGAGTCCCCATCCCTGGAAGTATTTAAAAGACATGCAGATGAGGCGCTTAGGGACATGGTTTAGTGGGCATGGTGGTGTTGGGTTGATGGTTGGACTCGATGATCTTGGAAGTCTCTTCCAACCTTAATGATTCTATGATTCTAAAGTAAGGAGATTCATCTTACATGAAATTAATGGTCCAAATAAAACCTAAATGGGCATTAATTAAGAAAACCGGTCAGTGAACATGTCCTTACTTGCAATTAGAAATTCAGTAAGGTTGTTAACTCACCCTCAAATTTAAATTCTGGAAACTTGGTTAGATCTCCCTCACCATACGCCCGTTGAAGTCTAGCCAGGGATTCATTCATGTCTTTCTGAAACTCGGGGCCTGCATCAACAGGCCCTCCAGCTTGCCTAAAAAACATTAGAAGTTCTGATTAACAGTTCAGTTCTGAAATTTCATGTGGAATTTCTACATTTTCATGGCCATTTATGAACTAAAAACCTTTTTGACAACCAACTAAAGCAAACCGTGTAAAACATTTCCAAAAGTCGAGATATGACACACCTTAGGGCCTGCTTACCTTACACATAAACAAGGTTCCCAGGGTAAAGTACAGGCTTTCTACTATCAATGATGAAAATCCAAGCTACAGAGGTAGCCTTCTGAGACATAAAACTACTGAATATAGTAGTTTTATAGAAAGTTTTATAGTAGTTTACAGAAAGCCTGAGTATCCAGGCTTTCAGGGCTCTTCGTTTCACTTGTTCCAGGTGTGATTTCCTAACAAAGTTGTGACTTGTACCTCTGCTATTCCTGAATCGGCGATCTTGGTTAGTAAAGCTTAATGTGTTTTGAATACTAAACAAGCAAAAAAACCCAAGAGACAGGGCGCCTTGCATTCATATAGATTCAAACAGGAATTTCTTGGGATACAAATATAAAATAATTAAAATAGTAACTCTTTAGATTACCAGTGCTCAGTTGTACCAACGCAGATATCACCTGTGATTGGTAAAGCCACCAAAAATATGCCTCCCAGGCAAACTAGCTACACAGGCTAGTTTGTAGGTGTGGAAACACACATCTTCCTCCAGAAGAACTAATAAGTGGCTTATTTCCCTCCCAAGGATAATTCCCAACAATAAATTACACAGAATTACTGTAGTTTTAGTTTCCTGTTAGGTAGTTTGTTCAAACATTACAAGAATCTAAGATTCCATTTGAATGAACTCCCTACTAGCTTAAGATGTTTAATGAATCAGCCTCACAGTTCCGTTAATTCTCAATTGCTTTTGGAGGCTATTTCCATTCAGCTTCTGGAAACAAGACTGAAGAACAGCCATTTTCCCCAGACAAAAAAAAAAGGGGGGGCTTTTTTTTTTGTTCTATTTACAGAGCACACAGATAGGTAAAAATTAACGTACTGGTGTGTTCACACAGTGTGCACAAAAGCTTAACTGAGTGCCTTAACTCCCCAAGAAAAATGACATCAGCTTTACTACTTTTTTTTTTTTTTTTAAGAGTAAAAAATGGACATTTTCTGTCAGGTATGCAAGAACAAGCCTTCTGACTTGTGACACTATCAGTAAGTGTTGCAGGAAAGCATACCTTAAGTATTTAGAGACCAACCTACAAAGCTAGCATATTTTAGCATTTGTCAAAATCAACACTCTTCCCCCTTTTGCCATCAGCCTTAAAATAATTTCCTTTACTTACTTGCTCTTTGTGTTGTACTCTCTGATCTTGTCCAAGAAGAGCTTCTGAACTGGATCGAGCTCTTTTGTCTTGTTAAAGACAACAGCAGAAAGCCCTATGTTTCTGCGCAAGTGAATGGAAACAGCAGAGCGAAAAATGGAAGAAAGTCGCAGAATCTGTTGCAGAATCATGATGACACTGATGTTTTAGCTAAAAAAAATAAATAAAAAAAAAAGCCGAAACAGAAACACGGAATTAGCTGACTCTTTCCACAATGTAAATGCATACAGAAGCAAAAAAATTTAGATCAGAGATGAGCTTTAAACCAGAAGGAACATTTAAACCCGCATGCACGCTGGGGTGAAAGCTCAAGCAGCCGCTGGGCCCAAAGAGCACCGTGCCACCCAGCACGCTGCTGCTCGCCCCGTTCAGCTGCGCCCCGCCAACGACTTTGCCCGCGCCACCACCGAGACAAACCGGGAACTTCAGGTTTTGTCTTGTTGGAAAAAAAAGTAACAATTTTATCCCAGCCAAAGCCAGCAGCAGCATCGGCCGCCGCCCCTACCGCTCCCCCCCGTCCCTGCCTCCATCTCACCCGCCCCGGGAACCCCCCGCAGGCGGCGGGGCCGGGAGGCGCCGTTAGCCCCAGGGCCCGGACGCCCCAAGAGCAAACCGACAGAGGAGGAGGAGGAGGAGGAGGAGCCGCCCCCCGGCACCC